TCTATTTTTCAGTAGAGACGGGGTCTCGCTCTTGCTCAGGCTGGTCTCAAACTCCTGAGCTCAAACGATCCTCCCGCCTCGGCCTCCCAGGATGCTAGGATTACAGGCGTGAGACACCGTGCCCGGCCCCAAATAGAACTTTAAGTAAATCTGACAGACAGAATTCTAGGCCAGCAACTTAACAATAGCTAACACATACCATCAAACAGAACTAAACAGAAACAGTGATCTGAGATATGACAGCAGGGTAAGTGCCCACCACTTTCCATATGGTCTAGAGCAGGGGTCAGCAAACTTTTTGTTTAAAGGGACAGAGATAAATATTTTAGGCTTTGCAGGCCACACCATCTCTGTTGCAACTACTCCACTATGCTGATATAGCACAAAAGTATCCCAAGACAGTGTGTAAACAAATGAACATAGCTGTGTTCCAATAAAACTTTATTTACAAAAACAGGTGGCAGGCCACAGTGGCCTGTGGGCTGTAGTTTGCCAACCTATGGTCAGAAAAGTTCCAAACAGACAGTAATTCAACAAAACAATAATGGTGGTACTAAGAGTTAGGCAGGGATTTATGGGATTAAAATCTGATCGACTTGACTCTCCATGAACCTTTACTCTGAACCATCCCCTCAAGAAGATGTGACTTGCTGTACTCACCAGTTCTAACCATGGTACAATGCAACTGCTATGAAAGTAGTGATTGCAGGGTAACTGCCGGACTTCTTCTTCAACTGTGTAATCTTCTTTGCATACTGGACACTCTAAACCCATATCTGTTGGAGAAAGAAATGCCTTTTAAAGTAAATAAGCAAAAAGAAGGAAGAAAAAACTAACCCAAAGCCTTTAGGAACCCAAAAAATCCATGAAGAACAGACACAGAGACAAAAGAAAAGGTGCGTTCAAGTGGGAAGCAGGTAAGAGACATGAGCTGTATTTCAAAATGGGGGTAAAGGTGGTAGCAGACAGGGACATGAAATGGAGGAATGATGAATGGGGCCTAATTCCAATAAAGCCTAGATAGGAACTACATAAGGCCTACTTTCCAATGTAAAGAGTTGGAAGAAATAAACTAGGGCTTAGATCATATGATAAGTAAAACAAGAAAAATAACTTCCCAAATGTGTGACAGCCTTCTGGCAGTCAATTTTCACTTAGGAAACACAGGTAACCTGTCCACCACAACCAAGAGACTCATCTCAGCGATCTCAACAGTTCCTATTCAGTGTCTCAAGCCACTTTTACCCTGCTCTTTTCCACATTATGTATCCTCTTTCAGCATGGCTGCCCTAAAGTCCTCTGTACAAGTTGTTAATTAAAAGCTGTACCAGGAAGTGGTGCTGCAGAATTCCAAAGCCCAAGCATAGCTATGACCCCCAACTCAAGAGACAGGAAGCCCTCTTCTCTGAGAAGAAACAATCACAAACGACATTGGGAATTCCAAGCAGCAAGTTCTGAGCTTCCCAAGTCTGGCTAATAATACCAGCTGGTCTATATCCCTAGTGGCTGGCATATGCTGCAAGCCCCAACAGCAGCCAAGGCATTTGGAGCAGGACTACCACTTAATAGATTCACTCCTTCCTTTCCATTCCTACCACCTTTGCCCTAATTCTAACTTTTACTTCTCATTCCTAGTCTACTGCCACAGCCTCCCAGGTAGTATCCCTAATTCCAGGCCTTTAACCTTCTAAATATACCCTACACTTTGCTACCAGCTCATTTTCCCTAAAACCAGCTTCACAGCAATCCCCAGCTCCTCTTCACTTGGATTGTCAGCTGGTGCCCTCAAAATCGACAAATTAAAAATTAAAAATATCATATCTCTCCTTACTCAAACCAGGGCCCACTCACTATTTCCCCATCCCTGAAGATAGCAGCATCACCTGTATTGTTATAAGGCTGAAAAATCTTAGAATCGTTTTAGACCCTTTCGCCTCCTTCATCTCATTATACAATCAGTGATGAAAGCCTTTCTTCAAAATGATCTTCTGAATCTATCTTTTTCTTTCTGTTAACATTGTTACCATCATCTGATCCCCACCTGGACTGCTGTAACAGCCTCTTAAATCCGTTTCTGCTCTTTCCCCCTTCCAATCTATTTTACATACTACCTCCAGACTGATCTTCTAAAGACCACTTAAATTCCCTCATTCCTCCATTTAGGGACCTACAAAACTTTCCTACTACCTAAAATACCCAGCCCTAACTTCTCTTGCAGTTTCAAGGTCCTCTGTGACAAGGCCTTACCCTTCCTATCCAATCATACCCCCCACCACTCTCCAAATTACATTCTATTTCAGGTCTAGTAAGGTCCCTGTCCTTATACCTGACTCAGACACTACATCCATGCTGATATTCTTATATTGGTTCATATTTTTCCTTAAATAGAATGACCTAAGATGGCCCATCTTGTCTTTAAAATCATCTCTGACTCTAAATCTAAATTTATGGAGAAAGAAACTTCCAGTCCAAAATATTGTCTCTTATCACCAAATTCCCTCAGTGCCTATATAAATATCTATGTCTAATGTACCTAACCGTAGTTGACACAAAGTAAATATGAAACAAATTCCCAACCCCTCATTTTTTTTCTCTTCCCCTTTCCCCAAAGTCATTATTATCTGTCCAAAACTATTTTTAACACTGTTTTTTTAATCATTTGGTGAGTTTTGCTTCCACTAATAAGTTCTTCAACTTACTAGAATCAAGTCATATATCCATGTACTCCTTTATTTCCGGTGGCACCTAGAAAAGGAACATGGTAATTGCTCAGGAAATACCTACTGACTAACCTAACAAAAGAGTAACCTAATGAATGGCACCTTCCACGTCTGGCACCCAGGTAGGAATTTTAGGGAGCTATAGCCTCACCTAAAGATCCTTTGTATAGGAAGGTACTGAGATTTTGAACATAGATCAGAAAATGACAGAATAAGCACAAAAATGAACCTACCGACTTGTTCCTGAGTTACTGTCACTGTGGGAAGTGATGTGATCTTTTCCTTGTCAGCTGGAGGAGGCCCTGTGTTTTCCAGTTGTCCTAAAAGCTATTAAAACAAAACAAAACAAAAAAAACAGAAAGAAAGAAAGAAAAGGAAAAGAAGTGGCAGACATCTCAATTTCCCTGGAGAGGGAGCTGTTCCAGCTGAGAATAAACAGAGCAGATATTAGAAATGTTAGTTACTCTTACTCCTGGCAAGGCTCTGAGAGGCTTGGGTTTCCCCTTCCCTGCTGCAAGAACACTCATAATTGCTATACAATTTCAGAGTAACATAAGTATAAGCCCACAGGAAGATCCATGATTGCAAGGCCTACCTTTGGGCATAAAGCAACTTCAGGGGCAGCCATAGGGCTGTGATATCATGAATAAAATTACAGCTTAATAAAAAGTAATACTTAGCCAACAGTCCAAAAACTTTATTCTGCTAGAAGGAAGAAAAGGGTGGGAGTATGAAAAGTAACATAAAGTAAGCCAAGAAATAGATAAATTACTGCCTACACGAAGACTTGGATATAAATGACATGCTTTCTATTCTCAGTAATCCACGAGGGAAATGAAAAGCCAATCAAAGTAAAATGAACATAAACAAGTAGAAGCAATTAAACATGGCATGGGAATACCTTTTTCTCTGCTTCCTTCCCCTACTTTGCTCCATCTAGCAGAAATCCCTGCTTCAACATATGAGAAGACCCTCCTTTTTTTGTGAAGTACTTGTTAACAGGATCCTCACAGGACTGAACAAGAGAGGCCAAAAATACAATATACTGTTTGTTACAGGAGAAGCCTTTTCTTCCTATGGAGGTGAAACTATCTTCTAGAAATCCCCTCGGACCTAGAAGGTACATGAATGCTAAGCTAAATCCATAAACCATTTATCCCCTTAGTAAAACAGAAATCCAAAGCTCAAAATATTAGAGAAAGCAGAGTGACCGCCATTTCAGAAAGTAGCAGAAGGAAAGCAGGAAGCCTGTGGAACCATGAAACACACTGAACAGACACCCTCAAAAGGCAGCTCCTCACCTGGGTTACAATGGCATCAAGCCCTGTTTGACCCCAGGCATAGTCCCCAGGGTTGGAGTGCAGCATCCCGCTCCTATACATGAGATGAGACAGACAGCATTAGATGGAGTGACCAGGCTCCTCCTTACACCACAGAAAAAACTGGCAGAGGGATCCTGTTCTCTCTCAGAGCTGGAAAGTCACTAGTCCTCTACAATCAAGAGGCAAAAAATTTCTCTATATTTTCAAGATCAAACAGATTATCCAGAGATAATCTCTCATTCTCTCGGAATTTTACTTAACTGGAACATAAAATGTGAAGCTACCTAAAGTGCCACATGACACACCAGAGCAAAAAGAGTGACTTGTTGCCTGCTAGTTAAAAAAAGTTTGTCTTTTCTGTACCCACTTACATTAAACATAGATGGAGCTGCTTTTTAAGAAGAGTTTTCCCTTCATGACTGGTCAAAATCTATAGCAGATTTCCTCCATTCTTAAGAAGCTGCCCACGGTCCTGGATAATGAGGAGCTTTCAAATAGAGAAGCAGCCATAGCAGTCTCTCTGTATCACAACTCAGAGCAATCACAAAAGGGACTTGGTAGCACTTCTTTTTTTTTTTTTTTTTTTTTGGAGCGCTGCTGGTGCACTACCCTCGATGACAGAGGTCCAGACTCTTCGGCTGAAACATGTTTAAAGGAACCAAAGGCTAGAAAATAGGGTAATTGTATGGAAGGACTGAGGTCCCTCTGAGCAAAGAAGCCTTCTGGGGCAGAATTAGAAGTGGCAAATAATTATCCAGACAAGAAGAAATTCTATCTTTAACCCCTACCATATGCACGTGTCATTCTGATACTGAATTATAGCCTTTTGTTTCTTCTGACAAACCTTCTTACTTTGGAAAAAGATAGTTAAGCATTATGTTTTCAATTTCGGAAATTCTTAAGGAATAAAATCTTCCAGTCTAGAGGGGAAACCCACAAATCAGATACCAATCCTGCACCTCAACACAACTCTCAGATCTGAATATAAATGGAATCAGACATTTCCAGCACTCAAACATCCTGGGGGACCAGGATGGCTCTCCTGAGCCTGAACAATAAAAAATAAGTTCTGATTGAGTTTGGGCTCAACAGAAAAAGGCAGTCTAATAGCCTTCCGGTCATATCTACATACTCACCTATGCAGCTCTCTTTCTTTCTCTCTATAACACAGAAATTATAGCACTTAAAATGATGCTATTCCAACAGAGTAAGCTAGAAAGCAATTAGTTACTTACCAGGAAAAAGGGTGTGGGGATCCAGGAATTGCAGAATTTGCAAAGAATCCTGCAAAGATCTGTTGTATTATGCTGTCAGAGGAGAAAAAATTACATAAGACAGCAGACTAATGAAAGTACTCTACAGATATTCATGGCTGACTTCATCACCAACCACTTCCCCAAACCAAAATGGCTTTTCACAAAAGCCATCTCTGTTACACAAGAGATAGCACCAGAAATGAGCCTGCCACCCGGTGGTATGTTATCTTGCTATTAGGGCTATATTCCTGAGCTCTGCTATCCTATGGATTAATAGATTTTTTTATAAATTAGGCTGGAAAGAAATCTGATGATACGGTATAGTTTTCAAACTATATGACTTGGATATCTGGCACCAATATGAGGAAGGGTTGAAAGAGATGCCAAGCCAGTGGGATTTGGGGCCCTCCTCTCTTTAACAAGGGTAGTTTCATTTTTAGGTGTTTTATACATTGGGTTTCTGTATAAGGTATCATTTAAAGGATCCTTTTTTTTTGAGTTTAAGAATAATTCTAATTTAAGGGTATTTTGGATGATTATAAAATAAATATATCCAAATACACACAGGCTTTGCACTTGTCATTCTGAATACTTAAGATGACACATGTACCCAGTTCTTTATTTTCATGAGTTGGTCTTTGTTAACCAAAGAGATATTGGGGTGATGTCTCAGCAAAAGAAAAAAACTGAAGAAATCATTCCCTTAGATCTCCTATGTTATGAATGACATGCA